CAGACGACATTCTCAGTGCCAAGGAGAAACTCATCCAATCCGACTACTACTCCTTCAGTGAGTGCCGGCGGGAAGTGGATGGCTACCTCCAGATCGAAAGCTCCATGGCCCTGCTGGCTGCCATCAAGCGTCGGCTCTGCTGCATCACTTACGGCAACCGGACCCGTGTGCTCCAAGAGTGGATGCTGGTGAATGTGCAGGACCTGGAGTACAACGACTCCGCCGAGTCCGAGAAGATCGCCCTGAAGGAGCTGTGCAAAAAGTTTGAGGGCAATCTTTTGAACGGCTCTATCAAGAAAGAGAACTTGGTGATCGCCTCGCAGATCGCGGCTGGTGGTCATGAGGGTAACAAGGTACTCCGCTGCATACTGCATAGTTGGTTCGACATGCAGAGTCGGATTCAAAGAGGTTGCACCACCAGGACAAAGTCCGCAAAGCACTTGGACGATGAAACGTTCCAAGAAATATATTGGATGATTGGCATGTCCGCTCAGAGTCGAGAACTCCTCGGCAGTTTCGGGGTCAGCCTGTCGGATCCACCAAAGATCGAGTTTAGACACCCGATGATCCCTTGGTTTTACCTCGCTCATACTTCCGATGAGCAGCTGGACCACAACGCCGCCTGCATCCTGGAACGACTCGAGGTCCAAGCTGGGTGCCGCAGCTATTTCGTCGGCATCGACGAAACGTATTGGGCTCCAAGTTTCCAGGTTCTTAGTGGTTTCGAAGGGCCGGATTCCCGAACCATTGTCGGGGGCTATTTCACGGAGGATGCGGAGGATTCCTTCGCGAAGTTGGCTTCGGCTAAGAACCTGGACGACTCCAAGAAGTCTCGGATGAGTGTACATTTCGTGGTGAGCCGGACGGACACCTTGCAATTCTCCTACGACTCCTGCATGATCCCGCTCAAACCTAAAGACAAGCGCAAAAGCCAGAGGCAATTGGAGGTCTGCGGGCGGCTCTTTCAGTCGTTCGCGGCTCGGAACCGCGACAGCCCTCCTCTGGGCATCGGGTTCGACGGCGGAGCCATCAATGCCGATCTGAGCAAGTGTATGCTCGGCTTGCTTAGCTGCGACACTCTGGCAGCGACGACCTTCTTCAAGTCCTGTCGCTTCGAGCCCATGGGCCTAAAGTTTGTGCCCTTCCGCTTCTGCTACTACAAGGACCACGTGCTGCTAGCATCGCAGGACAGTCTGCACTACCTCAAGAGATTAGCCTGCACCACCATGCAGGCAGTCGAGACGTTCATTATGGAAACTTCGTCGTCGACCTGAGTGGCATGGGCACTCGCGGAATGCCGATTCGGAGCTTCACCATGGCGGATGCAATGAGCGATGCGGAAGCTCTGTCTCGAATGAGCTCCCGGTTCCTCCAACCTCGTTGGGACTTCGCCGGAGCACACCTCTACTGTCTGCTGGGAGCTCTCCTGTCCTCTTGTGGTCAGGGTTCTGATGGCCTGTCAATCGGGACCATCTTCTGCAATGCTTGCAGTGCTTACTTTATGCTGTTGCTGGGCTTGCAACAGGCTCAAGAGGTCCATGGCGCCCATTGGAAACAGAAGTATCTGCCTTTAACACGCGACTAGGAGTTCGCCTGTGTGTGCACACGATGCAGTTGTGCATGCGATGCCCCGGCAGTGCCTCTGTGAGGGCATCCCGCTTTCAAGAAAGATCCTGCGAACTGTTTTTTTCCCGGGCGAAGAAAGAGTACCGGGGATCTCCCAGTGCTCGGGACGGAGTGCTTGGCATGTACAAGGAGCACTTGGTGCAGTCCAAGAAGAAGCTTCGCCCGGTGCCGTCGAAATGCCTCCTGCAGCAGTGTTTGGATCAGCCGACAGCGGACAAGCTGTGTCGCGAAGCCTTCACGGAGATGTGCAGGTTTCAAGCTTACATATCCGTGGGCCGGTCGCCGGCTTTGATAGCCGGTAACTTTGAGTGCTGGTACAGACGAGAAGGCAGGAACCTCATCGCCCAAGGTGCCGACGATGGCGAGGACCTGGTCGAAGCCGACGACGATGAGCTGGCTATGGACTTGGGCATCCAGGAGAACATCGCTGAGGAGGAGGAGCCCGCTGCCGACGACTCCGTGCTGGCGCTGCAGGCCGTCGAAGACCATGCGGCCATGAAACAGAGCCTGGAGGCCATATCAGCGGCTTCGGATGATCAGCTGCGGGAGCTCATCGGAGAGGACTCGGACTCGGAGGGCGAGGAGGCAGAGACACTTGCCCGAAAAGGCGACGATGCATCCGACGAGCACTCCAACTTCCGGCAGATGCTGAGGCAATGGGCGGACGTGGAAGCTTTCGATCTCCAGGATGTGGGGTCGCTGACGGCATGCCAAGAGCGGCTTCGCTACATGATGCCGGGCATCCGATCCTTCGTGCAAAACATCAGGTTGAGAGAAGGTATCTTGTCCGCCGCTCAAGTGACCGGCACCACGAAGCTGCAGAGCTCTTGGCATTCCCTACAGCACGAGCTCGCGATCGCGAGAGAGGCCTCCTTGGAATCGGGATGCAGGCAGTCCCGTGCCATCGCCTGGCAGCAAACGGCTGCGAAAGCAGTCATGCAGACACGGGCCACGGATGCGGGGGCCAACGATGGTATTTTGCAGTGAACTGTCATGTCTTGGGAGGTTTCTGCTACTTTTGGTTTAGGGTCTAGGGCTTAGTTCATACGGTTTCTACTCCTGGGATCCCTGATTGGTGCCACTCCGAGGTTGCAACACCTCATCCCCAGGACTGATGCGAAATCCATGCCGCAGATCATCGTGTATGTGCACGACAAGAGGGTTTCTTTGGGAGTCGTGCTGACCATCTACAGGGGGGCTCTTCTCAAAGGGAAAGACAAATCAGAGGCCGGCCGGAAATTGAGGGTCACGAAGCCCTCCGTACATGCACTCCCGGTGCTCACTTGCAGCCGGGTGAGGGTGGTCCATTTGACGGAATCCGCACCATTGCGCTACTTTGCCTGTTCTCACAGCCCCATTGAGCTGCTGACTCCGCAGTGTTTCCTCGGCCACGTGGGGAACATCGACTTCGCGAACTGCGAGACGAAGCTCCGGGTTGCAATCACCCAGGTCACCAAAGACCAGCTGGACAAATTGCAGTGCCAGCCGGAGCTGTTGTCGGCCCCGGCAACGGTTGCTGCTGATGGCGATGGTGCGCACCTGGAGTCCGCTGACGTGCAGCTGCACAGCGAGCGACGGATATACTCCGCTGTGGATTTCACGAACTCCATTCAGGGATCCAAATATTTGGAGAAGTTCCTGCTGACCGTGCCCAAGCTGTGGAGTGACAAGGGCGTCCCGATCACGGACGAGAGCGGCTGCATAGTGCTGCAAGGAGGCAAGAGCCTACAATGGTTTCACATTTGCAAGCGAGCTCCCGAGTACTTCGACATTGCGTACAGTGGCTCAGCCAAGAACTTCGGCCGCTTCGTTGTCGGCCAGATGTCGCAGGTACTCCCCGAGGGCGATTTCGCTGCAGCCAAGAGTCGCTTGTACAGACTCGTCGGCAAGATCGATGGAGTGGCTCAACCGGTGTCAGGGTCTCAGGGCCGGAGTTTCAGTGTGTCCGGCTTAGGCCGTCTCAGGGCTTGGATTTTACAAGTTTCGGGTTTCGGGTGTCGGGTTTAGGATTCGGCTACTCTGATTTCGCAGCTTGCGATGAGGCTCGTGGCTGGGTGAGCGGCGACTTCTTTCCTGCGGGGCTGAAGCCTGCTCCTCATGTTGTCTCATCGGTCTCGGGCTTGACTGCGATTTGCTGGCTATGTCCAGGCAAGGCCTCGCCAATCTTTCGTTCCAATCAACAGTGCCTGGACCTGAGATCACTGAACACCTGCATGCACTCCCGCTGCACCCACATACTGTCTGTTCCAGGTCGCCGCCGAGAATGGGGGGCGAAACGGCCGAGTGTCTCTGGCGACAGCTGCGAAAAAGACGAGCTTCCGCATTGTCTGCGAATCCGTTTGCAAGTCCACTCCGCGAGAGAGAGAGAGAGAGAGAGAGAGAGAGACACACACACACACACACAGTGCATGATGTGCTGCCCGTGCCAAGCATGAAACATGCCGGCCATTCGTGATTCCATTTTGTGGGGGCTGGATATTGGAAGCAGATTCTTGGAGCATCTATGATGCCATACCCGGAAACATGGTGGGGGGGGTGTCAAGAAATGGACCCTCCATTTCCTAGCCCCACCCAGCCTAAAACATAGGGGATGTTCGTGGCATGTCTACCGTGGCACAAGACTTGGACCAGGATGGAGATTGTCTAGCTGACGGATCAAAGAAAGGATCGACAAGAAAATGTAAAGGCATTAAAGAAGAAAACAAAAAGGGATCAATTAAAAAACTAAAAACGATCAAAAGACAAATGCATCTTTATTCAAGGGGTACAGTTGGTACAGATATGTATATATATATAAAGTGTACATGTATATATATATATATATATATATATTCGACGCGGAGCTGGCGAGTTCCGACTAACCTGCGCACGCAGCCATGGCCGGCAACTGTTAACGTCGAAGCCTTCCACGCTGTGCCAGGGTTTTGTGGCATTTTGTGGCCTTGACACCAGATATATAGCGTCGCAAAATTCCGACGTTGAACTATTGGAATCTCATCCTGGCAAATAGAGCTGCTTGACCCACGCAGCCATGGCCAGCAACTCTGGTTACACCAACCGTTCGAACCCTCTACGCGCCAACCGTTCGAACCCTCTACCGGTCCCAGACTTTTCCGGGATTGACACCGTAGTTTCGCACAGTTTCGTCGCGGAGATATTGGAATAGCACTTGCCGTTGTTTGCAGCAAATCTCCAATCCCTAGGTTTTTTTTTGATCCTTCCTAAATTTGTTTTGATCCGTTCAGCCTCAATTTGTTTTTGATCCCTTTAATTTTTTTTAGATCCTCCACCCCGAGTCTAGCTGCTATGTGGAGAGGACAACCGGTTCTTTTCATGCAGTTGCTTACCAAGCTCCCGCATGGCATTTGGCTGAGGTGCAGATTCCGCGATGAGCGCCGCTGAGCTGATCGAGCTCTTTGAGGACAGGGTGCAGTCCGAAGGATGTTTCTTGTCTTTGAAGAGCTCAAGGCTTGTTGCTGCTTGTAACGCAGTTTGGACACCATGTGCTGCTATGATCCATCGACCTTATGTGGCGCATGCACAAGCCCATGCCCATCTACTCAGAATCCACTCGTTCGTGCAAGTTCCTACATATCCAAATGCTCATACGTATATATGCACATACCTGTCAATACTTATATTGGCACATAGATAGCCACTACACACGCACGGGATCAGTATGTCTGTGCGTGCATGTGCACTTTTATGGCAACTTACACCAGCTGACGGATCGTGTGTGCGAGGACATGGTGGGAGACAACAAGGAGAGATTTATCTCGTTCATTGCCTGCAGCTTCAGAGTAACACGCGCACACACACACACACATACACAGGAGTCCCCGTTGGCAATACTCAGGATCGACGATTTTCGGGACCTCCAGCTCAGGCATCCTCCGTTTCATCACTTGATCTCTGGGGGAAAGACAGGCTGGACCCGCATCGTTGCCCACTGCCAGTTGATGTGCTTGCGGCAAGTTGCAGCTCCTCGTTGTGAGAGCAATCGGCATATCCTTTCGTTCTACAGGGTTCTAAGGTCATGCTTGTGGCAACTTCGTCTGTTGCGGACATTTCCCTCCCCCCCTCAAGCTTTGGCTGGTTAAAACGTCTGCGTCTCCCCATCCCAGAGAGTTCATCGAAGACATCATACCTTGCAAGGCTGCCAACGCACAGGCAAACCGCTTCGCGAAACCCGAAGACTGTGCTCGTAAACCCTTCAACCGTATCGAAGCTCGAGTAGGACCGGGGCACTCGACAGTAGAAACCACAGACGGCACAGAAAACGTCGCAAGCACCCACTCAAACACGATTAATCTGAATGGCAGTGACATGTGCAGCATCGTTTGTCAAGGCAAGATAGCCGATTCACTGGCTGATGTGACCCGGCCATGATGGACTCTTGCAAATTTTTACGGTAAGCTGACGTTGCTCCTGTTCATCGGCCGCTACGCAGCTGAGGTCATCTTCAGAGAGATTGATGTGCCTGCGACAGCATACGGCTGTTACATAGTGTGAACAATCTTTCAGGTGTGCGGAGTTGTGGTTGCGTATATGGCTTGCAAGCTCAGGTCATGGGACATAACTTTTTGACCCTCCCCGACTTCGTGGTGGGTGTGCTGAAGATCTTCCGGGTGCGAAGCTCGGTACCGTCATCCGATACAGCAGGCATTCCCCTGCTTTCGCTGCTCAGGTAAGCCCACGTCCGGAGTTTATGCACACGGACGAACAGCAGAGACGAGTCCCTTGCCGGTGGAATACGATACCTAGTTGTCAAAATTATGGTCCCTTTTTGGGCACCTTAAATATTAGGTGCCGTTATATATTAAGGACCCGAAGGGACCATAATTTTGACAACCACCTATGTAGAGCCATAGGGATTTTGCTACATGTCAATTGGTCGTAGCTGTAGCTGCTTTACACTGCTTTGCACCTGCTCAGTTGGTTTCGACTTGATGGTAATAGTGGCTTCTGTCTGGGAACTTTGAGGTACCCCTACCTACAGATAGTAAAGATTGTGCTGATCAGCTGTACTGATTCAGGTGAGTTCGTGCTATTCGCGTTAGCAGCTCCGATAGGTACATGACTTGGCATTCATGTCGTGCTTCGGCGAACACTAGTCGTCCTGACCCAAACGCTGTACCTGTACACGATGGAACCTGTTCGCCTGCCTGGGCCTGTCTGCACTAGCAGCTGTGGACCCGAGCTTGTCTTTCTAAACGGCTTTCTGAGTGGGGTTGAGTGCCGCGTGATTTCGCTGGTAGTGCCTGGTGGTGACCTTATGCATCTTCAAGCAGTTGTTGTGGATCCCATCGGAGCCTTAGGATTGGTTGTTGAGTGGAAAACCCTTCGGAGAATGACAAACCAAACAGGCCTTGAAATCCTTCAAGAAGGCGGGCCTGCTTTTGTCGACCGTCATTTTGCACCGAGAACGCAAACCGACTGCGTCCCTATGCATAGTCATGTGCATAGTAGATGTGTTGTGCAGCGTGGAGCATATGTATGTTCGTGTGAATGGAAGTTGTGTCATGTCGCAGAGGTCTCGGACAGCTTCGCGGCAGCATCTTGCGAATTGGGGTCGAACTCGGAGATCATCGAAACATCTGATTGTCATCATTAATGAGGACTTAAGTTGAAGCGGGAAATATGATAAAGTAGCCCTCTTCCTCATCATCGTCATAATCATCATACTCGTCATCATTATCCGAATCTCCACTTGCCACCATAAGCATCATCACATACACACAGAGCAAGTGCTTCAAGCACCATCAGCACCACGAACAAGAGCATCGTCGTCATAGCCACCACCATGCTCTACATCGTCGTCAGGACCATCATCATTCTTCGCCACCGTCCCAAAGAAACCTCTCTGCAGCAATTGCTTACATGTCATGTTTCGCCGACGCGCCAACTATCCGCTTGGTTTTCATCACTGAAGTCGCTAAGGCACACGATTTAGCTTCTTGGTCACCAACCGGTGCCCCGACACTTTCCAGCCGGCTGGGGCCTCCCTAGAAGCCGCGCCCAGCAGCCAGGTACATCTCCGAGTTCTCGCGCATGTTACAGACCCTGCTAGAGTCAAGCTGGCTCCTCAAACCTCAAGTGCTTGCGACCGCTAAGGCAGGAGAATTGCATTCTAATTGGTGTTATGTTTTTTTTCGTGCACCTGTTCAGTCGCGCAAACAGAGATTGTCAGCCATCTGAGCCAAGTGCGTCCTTAGGTGCATCGATGCTGCGACAGGCGCGAAATGTCCAAAGGGCCATGAGCTGCCGAACTGGTTCGATGGCACACCCATCATTGCGGGTGTAGGGTGTCGGGGTTCATTCCCATCCTTTCTTTTCACTCTCGCATAGCGGTATCCTGGCAGCACCTGAAATGCCATCGTGTTTTGGAGATGCAGAGAGACATCGAGTCCAACCTGCAGAACTTTCCATCGGCCCCGAGGGTTGGACTCGTTGAACGGCTTTGCCCTGATTACGATAAGGGCGTACAGCTCTGCCTAGGGCCTGCGCCCTTAACCCTACACCAAACAACCTGAGCCTCGAACGCTGTGCTCTACCCTACACACCCCAAAAACCCAAATGGCCGGTTTCTGTCGTCTTTCAGTGAGAGGTCGAGACTCCGCGCACCCCACAAATGGAGCAGCGCAGTCTGGCGGCAGCGGGGCTCTTAGGTCTTAGGTGGTTGACTTGATCAGTGCTATCATCAGCAACATCGTGTGACGACGCCAGGACAGGAGCAAGACTTACGCCTTAGGAAAAGTATGATGACCCTGAATGTCTCTGTTGCAATCACCGGTACTGTTTTCATGTTGTATCAGTATGCACGATTTCTTTGGGGTCATTGCTCTTTGAGGCTGCGTTGCCACTTATGACTTGTTTCTATCTTTCTGACATTTAGGGAGGTCATTGTCATTTCCATGATGGCAACGCTGATGATGATGTGAGCAATAATCAAGCTCTTCACGTCCTGCATGCTATGTCAGGTTGACGAAAAAGAGGATGCAGCCATCCGGCAGTGGTTTCGAGGTGTGGCCGAGGACTCGAAAGCGCAGTGCCTGCGGCAAGCCTCTGTGATTCTGAATGAGAGGAAGATCACAACATCATGTCCCGCCTGGATGCCCTGGAAGAGAGGATTGGAAATCTCCAAAAGAGGCCACCCGCCGTTTCGAGCGATGTGTTCCGATGTGTTCCGGTAGAGTTTTCGTCCGCCTCGAGTCGAGTCAGTCTACACCTGTCGTGGCAGGACCTATCCAGTTGAAGAGAAGCTCAAGACGGCTTTCGGGAAGGCCTGCCGACGCGGCAAGTTAGTGTTTCGTGTTGAAGAGGCAGTTCCTCCTAAACTGGCAGGTGACAGAAAAGATGATCCAAGAGGACTGGGCGGTTTGCCTTCCTCGGAATTGTGGCTCAAGTCATGATCACTCGGCATCACGGTTGAGGATGTTTTGCCCTGGCTGCGATCCGCGATTCCACAATACTGTGCGGGCTTGTCGCACTTCGGTTGGATATGCTGTCACCACCCTGAAGATGCCTGAAGGGTGACTGGCTTCCATGGTAACTCTGGACTGCAGTGACGGGGACAGGCTGCGGAAGCTTCGCACAATCATCATCTTCATCATCATCATCATGATCATGATCCTGGCCATCTTCATCATCATCATCGCCAACCACGGGCATGTCATAGCTTGACTGCCAGCACTGAGGTTGAAAGTGCAGCGTCGCGATGAAATGCAGAGGACCTTGGGGTTGATAGGTTGGTACAAGCCCCAGCAGCCAGTCGATCTCGCGTAAGTACAGGAGTTTACTTTATGGCAGGGTATCAGCAATGGCAAAATACACACACTCATATTTGTCAACATCCTGAAATATTGATCATTGTCACAGTGCGCCTGCTGGATAGGAAATGCCGCCGCCCAGCGTTGGGTATCGTATACAAGCGACAGATAGTGGGTCAGGGGAACCGGAAATCCTGAAATGTAAGCTAACGGTGCTTTGGCCGTGGTCCGAAGGCTACACCCACGGCCCGAGGCATAAACATAAACACCTCGAGAATGAGGCCCCGCGTTTCTCAAGTTGGGTGCGATTGTGCTCGGATGAGCTCTATGCTATTCTAGGCTCGAACGAATCGAACAGGCCTTCGACAAGTCAAGGCGGCAATGGAAGACACACGGAGCAAGTGTAGGCCCCCTTCATGTTTCTCGCGCTGCTTGTGCACCCTGACAGAGACATCATGAATCCTTACTCTTCTTATGTTGGAAGTTCCTGCAGGCCCAGCCAAAGCAAGCATGACCCCACGATGCACGATGTCGCAGGTTGAAGGCAATAGTATTTCTCGACTTTGCGGTGTTATCTGGCTGACGTAGCCCCTAACTTTTCAACCACGCTTTTTTTTGGCAGTGGCTGCACTGCAGTAATACAAGACCCGCGAAGAATACTGGACCGGTGAGGACTGCGGCCGCAGGGCAGACGCAAGTGCAGCAGGCAGCACGTTGTCCTTGTGCTGATGTCGGTGAAACTGTCCAAAGGCCGAAGACATGTGAACCAACTCACAGCTGTTGGCAGGGCCAGGTGCACTTGCAGAGCCCTCCCAGTCCAGACTCCCAGCAGCGGAGAGGCATTTTGCTGCATGCTCGAGCTCTCATGACTTGCTGCCAGAGTGTTCGTGTTGCTCTGATTGATTCAAAAGGAAGGGCAAAGGCACTGGTCTTCTGATTTTACCAGCACCATGGACCATGGCGTTGAAGCAGCTGCAGCCCAGACATCATGACGACTCGTTCGGAGTTTCTGACCAAAAGCATGGTTTCGGAGGTCACGTCGAGCCTCCTCACTAGGACCATTCCTGCGTCGGGAGGAGTTGTTTCGTATCTTGAACCTCCATCTCACACCAAATGTGGCAGGCTTTCGTCTCATGGAGTCTTTGCGAGAGGCAGGAGGTGAGTTCGGGCGCCCCACAGCGCCACCGAAGTCGGATCCGGCGAGGCGATCATGAAGCAAGCAGCTAGAGGTCTCTGTGTGTGCATGTAGGCATCATAGATTTATGTAGGCATCATGGATGCATGTGGGAATGCATGCATGTTGTGGGGACGTACTGATGTTTGCATACTTCACCAGTGTATAAGCGCAGCAACAGGTGTATGTCTGCAAGCCGTATAAGTGTACACTCTGGGAGGAAACGGATACTGTAGCTGTAGCATAACTGATGTCGACTGTTCGTATTTCAAACCTCCGTCATTCAGAGTGATTCGATGCTAGTAGGAATTGTATATACTCGGTTTGCACCGACACGTCAAGGGTAGCTTGAACGGGCCGTGTATTAACAGTTAGCAACAGCATGCTGGGAGTAGGAAGATCCAGTCAGCCTACTAATGCTGCACTGAACAAGAACTGTGATAACCATAGTGATGATCAGTCATGATGCTGGATGTTTTCCTGCATCTCAATTCATCGAAACTTGCATGGCCACCTAGAGCGGCGAGCTCTAGGTTGCAAAGCCGAACGTCCAAGACGCACCGGCTAGCAGCACGACCAAAGATCGCACAAAGACCATTGCGAGTCAGTCGTGACAAAGGCATTGGAATCATGCAGCTTGCGCCTCACGTTGCATGGATGTCTGCAGGATGCGCTTGTGTCAGACCTGTTCAAGAGCAAAAGTCTCTGCAGCACGTGCAATGTCGTAGAAGGTGTTGATCATCCAGGCTTTTAAATACTACCTAATCACACGATGTCATAGGAATATCACTGCAACAAGTGAGTTTTGTGAAGTGGCTGCTGGACGTTGCCGTCATGGACGAAGCTTCGCAGGCTCGCCACTTCAAGACACCTAGGGCATCTCAAGGAGCACGCCAATTGGAGCTCGTGCTTCAGCCTTTCTCGGAACGGTGCTAGGATTTCATTTCGTTATTGGTTGCTGCAGAGTGTGTGCGACATCATCCGAAAAAGCTGTCCGCCATAGTTATCTTTACCAGGAGTTGCTGAGAGCAGCCTATGGTGATGAGTGGGGCAAGACGGGCAGCTCGGATCATCCGAAGATGAATTAATTCTCGGGCGTTGTCACACCCACGCAATGTGCTACAAGCCGCATGCAAGACACCTGCTGGACAAAGGTCACGACCTCGCCGGGCACCAGGTGCAACCTCCGACAGGAGTCTCGCAGGAATGCATGACCTTCCATCTTGACAGGTTGTCGGCGAGGCAGATGTCGCTAGTGTGGTTGGGCAGCTTGGCCAAAGACACCATCTGCCTACTGACGAATTAGCACTCTAGGTCCTGAGGGAATGGCCGACGGCACAGCTATTGCCGCCGACGATCCATAGCTACAAGTAGCGCCCGTTGAGTGCACATGGTTCTTGAGTTTCCTTGGGAAGTACACGTATGCCATACGAATGCCCCTTGAGGCAAGGTCGTGGCAGCAGCCTGCTCTATGGAGTCTCGATGGCACGAGTTCACTGCGAGTGTGTCGGAAGTCCCGCAGGTGTGTTTTCCTCGAGTTGAGCTCAGGAGAGTTGCTGCCTGAAGGTGGGCAGTTTGCTGCTTGTGGTTTTTGATGTCCGAGGGACCATGAAAAACCTGCTAGAGTCTTTGAGCTACTGTGGTTAGTTGATGTTGCTGTACAGGAGCCTGACGAACTCCCAGTTCCTGTGCCGCGTAGCATCATTTTCTATGGTTTCCGACTGCAGCTGCCGCTGCTGCCGCTGCTGCTGCTGCTGCTACTGCTATGCTCTATGCTTAGTTACAATGTCCTAGTAAAGCATTGCTAGGTTCGATGTGCTCGCTGCTGACCCTCATGTCTCCAGTTGGACCTGAAGGTGTCGAGCAGCTGGCACGTGCCTTCTGCACGCGAGAGGCCAGAGTCCTTTTAAAACTTAGGACTGTTGTTGAGGGGGTTGAACGCTCAGACTCCTATTCGAGCCAAGCATTCTTGTGGTGTCACATTCGTGCCGAAGTTGAAATTGTTGCTGGCCGTGTTATTCTGTGTGTGAGAGCCCCGCTGCAAAGGCATGTCTGGTTACATGCTTGTGTTTCACTGGTATCTCACCGTTGCGCCTACCTACCCATCATGAACGAGAACAGGATATCCAGAAAAGTCGGATTTGCGCATTCCCCTACGTAGACAGATGCACTCACCAGGGCCCTAGCGGGCCCTTGTTCAAACGTTGCCGACACAGCACACTGCGAGGAGAGACGCCTCAGCCAACACGGAGAAGCAGCATGGAACACCTTTGCACTTCTGAAATCTCCAAGCACAGCCGTAGAACCATTCCTGTGCACTACGGACTTTTTCCGACAGGAGATGGAACGTTGCAAGGTCGTACGGAATATGCCTAGTGCCTTACTGAGCCTTGCCCAGGGTAATGTTGAAAACCTCAAGACCGTAATCCTTAACTCAAGATAACTCAAGGCCCTCACCCGAAAGCCTTGTAATGCCTGAATAGGTTCCGCTGAGTGGACCCATCCTCGAGCTGGGCATGGGGACTGGCAAAGTCGCCCTCCAGCTGTTCTTCACCTTGCACGGCCACTTGACTGAAGACCACGCGGATCTTCATTTTTATGTCTGGAAGAACTGAGAGAACTCTTTCTTATGGCACTGCAAACAGACCCGGGCTCTTAGACGGCGTCATGTGCTAGCTGCTTACTTGTGCTTCGGTTCTGATTCTCGCACACTTCAGGCCACGCACTTGGCCACGCACGACCGGAGTACCAACATGTCCCTTTCTTATTCGAGCATATCCGAAGCGCATCCCGATCTCTTCTCCTCGCACGCTCACTCGCGAACCTTCCTAATACGCACATATACACATTGTAGCACATTAAGCCACCTTGTGCTGTTTGTGGTGTGGAAGTGAGAGTTGGTCCGATTGACTTCCTTGCTAAACATGATATGTTTGGATGATCGAAGCTCACCGAGTTGATATCTTCGGATTGGAGCTCGCACCGAGCCGCTATGCACTGGCGGCGTCTGCCCTTCGAGAGCTTTCACGGGCAAGTGAACGCTTCACTTTTCAGGCTGCCTGAAGATAGCATAGTGGGAAAAGTGGGGGGTATAGTCAAGATGCTAGAGCTTTCACAGTTTCTCATGTCGGAGAACAGGAGCCGGGAGACTCTTCATCGGTATTGCTGGACCACGAGTATGGCATACGGTGCGAGTTTCGGTGTGCCTCCCTCTTGGACACGCCCGTGGAGATGCTGCAGAGAGCTTCTGCAGTTGTTATGGAGGTCTGCCTGCCGCTTGAGGTGCAGCGAGAGGCCAGCAAGAGGCTCCAGATGTGCCCTGCCGGCTGCCGCATCGTTAGCTACTCGGCCCTTCATGGCCTGGTCGGTGACTGCCGCCTTGGACCCGTGAAAGACAGCAGTGGACTGAGTGGTGATGGACGAGGAGGCATCTCCCTCGCTGCGTCCTGGAAGCCAGTGGGTCATGGCTTTGGCTTTTACGAGATGGCCGATTCAGCTGAAGATGCTGCCGCTGCTTGGGATGAAGCAGAGAAGTTGAAGTCCGAAGATGCCGTTCAGGTTGATGCGACCGGATGCCCTTCTCGTGCCCGGCGGCTGCGCTACACTGATGATGTCTTGGCTGATCCGGCCCTTGCAAAGTATCCTTGGGCGAAGGGAGATAAGGTCTTGGTTGGGTATTCTTGGCTGCCGTTCCCAGACCTCGGAGAGCCGGACGACGGTAGTGCTGGAGGGCTGGATGGGGTGACCTGGATGCCGGCATATGTGGTCTGCGTGTTCGAGGACAATTTCGTGAATGTTTGCTACGAAGATGATGGTACCGTGGAGGAAAGGGTGCACCCTGACAGGATACGAATTCCAGGGAAGTGCCGCCAAGTGGATGCCGTGACATGAAAATGCGGGGTGCTGCCGTCCTACGAGGGATTCAATCAGCAGCTTGATGTTGATACAGAGACGTCAAGATCGCCAGGGCAAGTGCGGCAGCCGGTCACTGTCTCCCGGCATGTGATCGGTGCCTACGCCTTGAACTCGTGAATTTCTGGAGCGAAGAGAAGAATTCGCGAGTGAGTCATTCTGGCTGCACGAGGCTCCCTGGGAGCGACGATGCGAGCGGCGCCGAAGATGCCAAAGCCGCAAGTGGAGCGCGGTTTTCTGGGTGCAGGGAATCACGGACCATGAGTCGGAGAGAATCCAACACCCGCATGGCCAGTGGGCCTGGAAAAGAGCAAGGGACGTGGGACCCGTGTTAAGGAGCCAGGGTAAAAGCCAGTTGAGCTCGTGTTGGATATTTAGATTTCGCCAGCTTAGTTTAGACATACCGCCATACAAGAAACCGCTTCTTCTGCCCAAAGGTTGGTTGTGCATACGGTAGTCGCAGCATACGTGTTGGGATGTGCAGAACACGGGCAGTTCTGACTTTCATACTTGAGACTTTACAGAGCACCTGCGGTTGAGAATGGCAGGTCAATGGAGAGCCAAGCTTTGCCCTCGTCCGGAGGCCTCTTCAGCACACTCTAATCATCTCTAATCCTGGTCTTGCATTGGAGTTGTTGATGGTAGCAGTTACCTGGTAGTGTTGGTGCTGGTTCCTGCTTTCTGGTATGGTTCCTGCAAGTGTCATTGCAGTCGTTCCATTCGTCATTTTTCAATCCTGATCTTCCCATTCCATACTATGGTCTTCCCCTGACTCTTCAGGGCTGCCTGCTCTGGATTGTCCTACGCCTCGCTATACATTTCCCCGTTGCTCGTTGCTCCCCCTTGCCTTGGCCCAGCAATCATTGCGGGGCCTCCTCCGAATGACTTGGAGCTACTACGACCCATGAGTGTAGCGGTCTACATGATTGTCATGAATCGTCGTTTTAAGCTTTATTGCGCTCTGTCTCTGCTCGTGTTATCCTGACCAGTGCAGCAGTCAATGCTGGGCAGAGAGAGTTTCCGGTGACAGGAATCGCGAAGCCTTGAAGAAGGGAAGACTTGCACCGAGCCCAGCACTTCGTTGCATCGTGGATCGTTGCCAAGACATCTCACTGTCCTCTCCATAATATGACTTGTGATGACGATTATGAGGAGGATGCATATGCGTGCTTGTTGCAGTGGGCAACTTTGGTGCGGTGCCCAGGCATCAGGAGACCAACAGAAAAAAGCCGAGGCGCGAGTACGAACTTTCAAAAATCTGGTCCGGTTTTCTTGTTGAGGCAAGAAGCTTCCCGTCTTCTGGAAACTACGCGTGGTTTCAGATTCAAAGCAGCAACTGAGTTTCCTAGAAGAGCTCGATAGACGACAAAAGAAATCCGCATAGGCATAGCCCTTTCGCAATTGCGCTGTGGCTTAGGACCCTTATGGCCTCGTGGAATCTCCGAGTAGTTTTGCAATTCCCGCCGCAGCTTGGTGGTCTTCGTTCCACGACCCTCCCAGACACGCTCTTGATTTCGGGCATTGCAGGACGCGTACCGATGCTCGCGAGTGCCTGCGAAGGATGCACGGCGATTTCGCGTCAACTCCCTGGTCCCTGGCTCCCAGATCACCTTCAAACGAGAACCCTTCGGCAGCAGCCGCACATTCGAGGACTTAAGACATAAGCCGGAGTGCACGCGGCAGGTCCTCCGTCTCTTCGGACAGCTGGACTTGACCGCCTCAGCTCGGTTCTTGGCTGCGCATGAAACGGCATGTTCATCAAAGCAACAGGCATCGGCATCGTCAACATCATCGTCATCGTCATCGTCGTCGTCATCATCAGAGTCCTCCTGACTCCGCCTCATCCTCCTCCTCCTCATCATCATCATCATCTTCTTAAATCTTCTTCTTCCCACACTAGCGTTCAGGAACAAGACAACAAAGGCGAGGGCTATGTTAGGCTAGCACTGACACTTCTGGTAGAGGCCATGACAAGCAGGATTGCCATGTTATGGTCGCGGGTGTGAACGCAAAGCGTCATCATGCACAGCAGACTTAAGTAGAACCCGTAAGCAACGCAGTCAGAGCAGTCACAGCAGCAGCAACAGCGCCAGCTACAATTGCAGCTGCCGCTCCTGCCACTGCCCCCTGCTCTTGCTACTGAGCCGAATGTTACAACTACTGGACAAACATAGCGAGGGCTCGGGATAAAGGCTCATCTGCTGGCCTCGAAGCAGGATGGGAGGAGGCAAATGGCCACAAACCTGTTCAGACGGATCCTCGAGGCATTGCGCAGCTTTCCATGCAAGCTGGCATCAGCTGTCAGCACATGCTCATTCACAGGTGGATCCGACACTTGCCACCGCCGGCTTGACTCCAACATTACTGTGGCCTGGCCCTCGGCGGCAGATGTACGTGTTCTACAGGGAAGACCCAGAGGAGGAGCCACCTCAAGCCTGTGCGCAATGCAGTGTTTTTCTTGCCAAGTCTATACTCATCACGTCAGCAGAATCTCACTCGGCCTGCTTGACCGAGGAACACGTTGTTGAAGGCTTACAAGCCCGCCAGGACATTCCTTGTGGTGCTGGCAGGAGTCCCATCTTGTGCCCTTGGCCAGGACGGACCGCGCTTCTCTAAACGAGGAGGTGCTTGCAGAAATCATGCAGGTCGGGCCTCGGGTGTCTGCAATGCCCGACTCGGAACCATGGTGGATCATGGTGCCAAGAGGCCTATGTCCAAGCTGGACAGATCTCATCCATTGATTGGTGGATGAGGCCTCGGGCATCAGTGACATCAGGTTTACGTCAGGTCCTGGCTGTACTTGACTCGACTGCAGGTTCTGGAGGCTGCTGGACGAAGCTGGAAGCCCGCCTTGAGCTCGAAGCTTCCAGAAGTGCAGCCTGTGCAGCTGCAGCAGCTTGAGCCTTCGGAGCGTGTCCGACGTGCCCAGGCATGCAGCAGCAGCTTCGCTGCTCATGCGGCAGCATCAAGTCGCTGCAGTGCAGCAGGGCCGCAGGCTTGCCGGTGCTCGGGGGGTTTCACTTCACAGACGGCGGGATTCGCTCGTGGAGGTACCTGCAGCAGTTCCTCCAGCACCGCATCTCGTCTGCAGCAAGCTGCGCCATTTCGCAGCAGGGGCAGTCCTTGTCACTTTGCAGGGCCCAAGATGGGCCGGGCTGCCGAGCTTGCACAATTTCGACGAATCATTCAGGCTGCGAGAACTTTAGGAAGGTGGTTTCGTGGAACAGAGCCGCATTATGTGCAGGGCCTGGCTACGGGCCATCGCAGTCTCGTGCCGTACCAGGAGGCCGAGAGTTGTTTCTTCTGTCAGGTGCCTCGAAGATTTCTTTGCCTGCAGGTATGGGCTATCTTTCAGCCATGGCCTAGAGATTTCCTTGGTTTCCTCATCCAGTCGCTGGCGAGGGTTTGGATAGCCTCTGAGGCAGTTGATGTTCAGCTCCATGCACTTACAGCCGGACCGCTCGATCTTCCAAGTAGTGATCGAGGCCGCTGCAGCTGTTTGGGATGCTACCGCAAGCTTAGGTTGAGTCGATCGCTGCTGCCGCTAGTAACGTGCCGAACTCATAAGCTTCAGGCTTTCGCGGACGCCAACGATGAAGAGGGCGTGCAGGAATGGCTATCTCGAGCCAGGCCTCTTGCGAGACTCAAGTCTGCTGGCTCCATGACGCTGCTAACACACCTGTGCACACAGTCCGGACAGCGCTTGGGGCAGTCGCCGTCTATGTGTGACTCCGTCTCTCTCTCTCTCTCTCTCTCTCTCTCTCTCGCGCGCTCTTCTCTCCCTCCCCTGCCTCCCTCGCCCCTCCCTCCCTCCCTCCCTCCCCCTCCCTCCCTTCCCCCATGTAGGCATGCGTGTATGCATGCGGGGTGCCGTGTGCACACATTGAACATTTAAGACCAAAGTGCCTGCCACCTTCCGTCAGACTTGCCGGGTGCACCCCGCTGAATTGGAAACCTACGGATGCTCCGGCCGTGCTCTCAGAGCTGATTTCATGCACCGTTCGTGCGGCCGCGAGCTTGAACAGGATGTTGTTAAGCTCCTGCCGGCTGAGCATGTAAGACGGGGTCAAAGATTCCCGATTGCCGTGCATTTCTGGATTCCAGAATGTATCCGTATCCCAGAACAAGGGAAGCAGCCTTGGCTTCGGATTAGCTTCGGTCGCAAGAGGGCAGTGATGAGCCATCAGGAACGTAGGTTTGACCCGGCAACAGCTTTTCAGAGGAGAGACAAGGCGTCTCTCTGGTTCTCCTTATTATCGGAACCTCAATCTCACCGTGCCGAACCACCGTCTCATAGCTAAAAAGCCTGTTGCCCCATTGATCCGAGGGTGGAATGTCGGAAGCTGCGAAGCGAAAGCGCCTGCAAGCATCGTGGCTGCAGAATGTCATGACTGACGCGGATTGCAACCATGGTGTTAGCGTAAAAGCGGCATCAACAGCTGTAGTCCCTCGTACTAGCTCCTGGTGCTGCTCGTTTTCAGGAGATGGCTCGGCGCAGGATGGAGCGCAGAAGGCAGCTTGCCGCAGGAGAAAAACTTCGCGAAGACGGTTCCAGGTAGCATAGGACCTTGAAGTGCGTCCTGCCCACAGGAGGTCATGTCGTTGGGACATGTCTGTCGGCTGCACTACCTGACCAGCCACGCCCTGTCTGGTGCGCTGTGACTATTGGCATAAGGCATGCAAACAAGACTCCCCAATGGGCCAAGCTTACACTGTGCCGTGTCTGGCCACGAAAAACCCCAAGAAGTTGACCCCTTGAGCTAGCCCGAGCTCCCTGGAGTTACCAATTCACCAATCCGACTCGAAAATGCCATGGGGGAGAAATCCAAGCGCCGGGCCGCGCGGCAGGCTGGTGCTTGCGGGATCTTGCGGGACACTTGAAATACCGGTTTCACTTGATTCAGACTCACTATAACAATGTACTCGAGCAGAATATAGCATAATATGATGAAATACAACGTAGTTGTCATAATATCAAACAGAGAGCATAATCGAACATAGTATAGCATAGAAAGATAATAGTAATGCCATTGAGCATACTATACTAGAACTCACGGAAGGAGGCGATCAAGCCTGCGTGGGCTTTCTTCCTGGGGCTCGGAACCTCGACTCAAAGCTGCAGTGCTCGTCTCCGATTCTCCACCGCGGAGGGCAAAACATGGACCCAGCTAACCGGCTGTTACCAATTATAATGACATATAGTGAAAATAATAGTAGTAGTAATACTCATAATAATAGTAATTATTATTGATACTATTGATATCATTAAAATTTTTTTTTTCCAGGAAGGCTGCTTGCCGATCTGCTGATCCAAGGTTCCGTTCTCCTCGTTTTCCATTTTGCACCTTGGCACTTGGAAAGACGCTATGGCCTAGTTCCCGTAGCAAGGCCTGACAGAAGGTAGGGCAGTAGGGAATCAGGGATCGAGCCCAGCGCTAAGGCTATGATCAAGTTCTGGTAGAGGGAGGCTGAAACAACGCTCAAATCCCCGATGCCTGAACCCAACGATCAGCGATCACAAGGCCCTATAGCTGAAGTATCCCGCCAAATAACACCCTATGGCCCCATGGTCCTCAGCCGCAGAATTCAGGTTTTCCGCGGCAAGGGTGGTCTGAGGCCGAGGGGAGCCCCCAGCCAGGCAGGGCCATCCCGTGCTGCACGGAAGCCGAGTTTAGGGCTGACTTTGTCTTGTCTTTTGTCTTTCAGTGTTTCGCTCTGGTGCTACATCTGTCGTGCAGAGACACGAAGCGATGCAAGCCACACCAAGCCACACCAGAAATTCGCACGTCACAGAAAGAGCTGTCTCCTCGAATGTGCAAGGCGCAGATGGCCCGGGCCACCCTTGGTGCAGCACCACGGGCAGAAGGTCATCAACTGTTTCGCGGCAAGACGCAGTTAACTAACCACGACTTCTCCCTCCAATGCCAGGTGTCTCAGAAGTACCACCGGGATTCACGGCCATGCAGGGCCCGACGGAGGAAGAGCTGAGGCCTGCAAAAGTTCGAGCAAGTGGTAGTCGCTCTTCAAGCAGATATCGTAGGAGCTAGTAACCCACGAGCCGCGAGGTGTGTTTAGCTGCGAGCGTCGAACATGCCACCAGGCAGTCGACCTACGTGTACAGCGACGCAGGCTCCTCGACCAGTGAGACCGCGACGTGCCTCGCAGCGCCGGATTGTAAGTCAAGATCACGTCTAGATGCTCGAAGGATCAACGACGTGTGTGAGTTAGGAAAGGCCAGGAAGCCGGCTGAAACGAAACTTGCCAAGATCGGGAGATTGGAGATCCGAGAGCTAAGGCTCGGACTGTCCCGCCGATTTCCTGCGTCTCGTGGAGCCCGAGGAATGCGAAATCGCAGCGGAGATGCTGCACAAGAAGCCCCTGACTTCCAAAATGCCGATAGATGTCTGCTGGTTTGATCGCTTCACATCATTTCCCGGCCCTGCGAACCCGTGATTTGCCTGTAGCACGTTGCTCTGTCAAACAAGGTTTCAGGACATGGACCCGAAAGTGGACACCGAATTTCGCGGATGCCAGTGCTGTCGGCTGCAATCAGAGTGTTGTTGGCACGATCTGGCACGACAAGCCGGAAAAAATGCTCCCCGAAGCCGTAGCTGTGGCGCGAAAGCATGGCCAAGCAGCAGTGCCCAAAACTCGCAGATCTTATCATTTCAGTCGATGCACCCGGAGGAGGGGGGGAGGCAAGGGGGCAGTTTTGCTCGGGCTTGCTGGAAACCGATGACCCTTCCAGTGCTGGTGTTCGGCGTTCTGCACTCGCTTCACCAGCTGTTCAAGTGCTGTTGCAAGCAGAATGACAATGAGGGCAGAGCTGTGCCTCCGCGAGGTTCAGGGTTCCCGACAATGACGTGCACTTCAACTCCAAGGAGGCCCGGAGCTGAGGAGAGCGCGTGGGAGTTTTCACGTCGCGTGCTGCAGCCAGGGCTCCGGCAATCGCGACCGGAAATCCATCTGCCGGAAGCCGCCTGCAGCCGGTGCAGCACCGCCTGCCCCACCACCGCAGTTGGCACTGATAATGACAACTCCTGCCAGCACTCACATCTGTGTGGGTTTCGATGTCCGAGATCCTGGCTTTAAGAGAAAGAAAGCAGTCATGTCGAATGCGTGTGTCGTTGAGGCAGTCGATCTGAATCCTGTGCCGTCGCCACCACCTGTTCTGGCTGCCGTGGCCGCTGTGAGCCAAGCGGAGCCGACCGTGGCTGAAAGGCTTGCCGGCAGAAGAAGCAGCAACTGCAGTCTGATTGCGTGAGTTGTTTTGCAATTACCAGATCTACTGCTGGTGCTCCTGCTTGCTGCTCCTGCTCCTTAGAAGCCTGTGCAGATCGATGAGGAGCACGGATCAAAGATACGTCATGACCGAGACGGAGAGCAACGGCTGTCCTGCCGGACACACGGGTGTAGACAAACAGGACCAGCCCAACATGCTGACGGCCCAACCCTTAAGCCCTACTTGAAGCCCCTGAGCCCCCCAACACAGAACCCGAGTACCCGACAAGTAGATGCATCTAGAGCCTGATAGTACGACTTGGGGGCCTTCACGGGGGCTTCTCGGGCAAGGAGTGCGCGACGGCAGCCAAAAGCTTCGACAAGCCCTTCCTCGAGGACTTTCTCCCGCAAGCCCCAAGGAAACATCTCAAAGCTGCCTGCAATCATGCTGAGTCATGTAGACGGTTACATGTTGATGCCTAATAAGGGGAGTAATGTTGATGAGACTGGCAACAGTCACAGTATTGCAGACAGTCCGAAGACTTACAAACATATTCGTCATGATAATGCCATAGCAGCAATGAAGGCGTAGATCAAGAGAACGCAGACTCGGATCCTTCCAGGAAGCTGGACCCGCTGAGTTGGATCCGAAGGGATGCATCTTCCGGGTTCCAGACGCCGCCCGGGTCCCGGATCAAGGGTCGCTTTTTGGGTTTTTTTTTTTGGGGGGGGAGGGTGTTCGGGCTTTGTCAGTGTTTCTCAGTCTTTTGACTCCTTGGGATCTTTGGTGTTGGTGGAGTGGCTTTCTTGAAGCCTCTCTTGAGCTTTGCGGAGTTGAACGGCTGGTAATGGATATGCGGCTGGGCTTGTTCCTGGAAGTTTCGATGATGACTGTACATGTTTACATGTTCACATCATATCTGCGTGTTTGGAGATTCTGTGTTCAGGACGTTTATTTCAACACGGAGCCAGAGGGTGCGCCGCACGAGTCGCGCAAGGTCCGTTCAGTTGAGATCCTGCGAGTGATTACACAGACCGGCGACGTGAAATAGCTGCAAGCATGAATGAATATAGTCTTCGGAAGGAGCCGGGCAAGTGTATTGGATGCTGCGTGCGGTAGCGCGGTCTCTGTCACCGATGACCATCCAACAGTATCCAACAGAGCCAATCAAGTTCCCCCCACCGCCGCGAAGCGGTAGGTCATTTGCCGGGCACCCGGCGTGGCGGCACCCCAGGCAGGACGTGGGCGCTTCTGACAGGCAGTACTACGTTACTACCTGGCCTCTAGCATAAAAGCACTGGCATGTGTGTGAGCAGCGATGTGTCGCCTGCAAGCAGGTCACTCAAGCAGCACCGGCCGCTCCTACAGGAGACTTTGCTGCTTGGCTGGTCGGTATGAATGCATGTACAAGTAGCCATAATGCTTTTGAACGGACTGCGAGGGATGCAAAGTCAGCAGCAGGACTTCACATCATGCCAAATACCTATGGTGTGACACAGGGATGGAAGGAAGTATTGTTTGCAATGGCTCTGGGTCGGCAGCGCGCGGGATCGGACTCGCGAATCCCTTCTGCTGAAGCCCATGGCGACTAACAGCGCTTCAAGACACGGTCTCAGGTAAAGCACACACAAAACTCGAGGTGCTGGCAGATGCTGGTTCTGATGCTTGCCCGGCTGGCTACAACAAGGTGCTGACACCCGAGGCAGGTGCGGGAACAACTGACGAGTAGCTGCTGTTCATCATGTCCTGGAGCGGGCGCCCGAAAAGCCGCGAACTTCCGGACCCTCAAAGCCCCCCTGGCCTCCAGACGAGGACTGCCAAGCTGGGGCGAATGCCTTGGACAAAGCCTTTCATGAGGCTTTCGAGGCAGAGTCAGACCCAAAAGGCGGCGATGGTACACGGGACACATGTTCGTGTATGCGTGTATGGAGGGTTATGTAGCTATAGGAATTATATATTGTATACTGTGACAATCTCGGTTGGCCTTTTCGGGCATTTTTTGTGAATTCGGGTGGTTTTGGGATAATTGTAATGGCTGTCGTCGCCGAGGCCTCAAGTCTACCTCTAAGCCTCAGAGCCTATACCTAAACCCTTTGAACCCAAACCTCGGCCTCCACCGAAAATCATGGTTTTTAGCTCGAGCTTATTCAGCCATTTTTGTGCAGCGTGGAGGTGCCCCAGCAGTAAGGGTCAGCTCAGGACGTGTGGGTGCAGCCTAGGACCTTGTGGGCAATGGGCAATTTTTTACTCGCTATGAACATTGCAGAACACTACACATCAGCAAACTGCATGCAGTAGAAACTTTTCGTCTGTTCGACATTACTGTTCCCGCACTTTGGATTGAGTTGTTTTACGCCTGACAGGGCACGTGCGCACGGACTGCAAACCTTTCAGCATCTGCTCTTGCAGCACCTGATCTTGCAGGCTGCAACTACCGGCTCACTGACCAAGATGTCTACTTCAACCTGCACCTAACAGGATTGCGGATCAGCGAGGTAAGTTGGCATTTGTAACTCAGAACTCCAGCTTTGAAACGAAAGCAGAGGAGCTCCCCACCACAGCCGACAGCCTGTTTGCCAGCGAGATGTGGCTCAGATGGATTAGTTGAATTTGTTCGTCAAGTGCGCACCTGGGTCGGGTGGGTCCAATGTCATCTTCGTCGATGCTTTTCAACCGGGTGGCGGGGTGAGCAGACAGCTACAATAAGAATGAGTGGATCCAACACCTCAACACCCCTGATCACGCGTGAACCGGCTGATGTGTAATGGCACACCACTTGAATACCTCTCTGAGTACCGCGTGGGTGGGTGGCTTCGAGCAGTTTGACTACGACATCTGTTTGTGTTGCCATAGGACATATGTCTGTCAGGAAGTCCAAGGTGTTTCCACGGACCCTATTCTACCTTCGATCCAAAGCGAGCCTTTGAACCACCGGGGTCCGATCGCATTTGGGACCGCCAGGGAGTTCCGTGCAGCATGTGTGACCGCAACTCTCAGTCTTTTGTATATCTCGTTTCACACTCGGTGTTCAACAGTTGCGGGAGAGGGGGAGCTCTTGCCAACTCTTGCAGCATTCTTCCTTAGGCAGTCAGGGGTTGGAACATCATGTAAGCAGGATCGGGAGTTCGAGGCAAATCCAGCACCCCACTTTGCCAAGGAGGGTGCTGCGCAAAGTCCCGCAACACCTGCCGCCGCAGCGAGCACCGAGCACAAGGACGATATCATAGGGTTCCGAAAGGTAGGCAACTAACTCCCAGGCGCGGGGTAGTACACAGTCACACAGTCAGGCAAATTTGCTCTTGCTGTTGGCACGCTTTCATACAGCAAATTAGATCAGAGACAGTGCTGATAGCAACGTAATTAAAGTTCTTCGAAGATGCATGGCCAAAACTTGTCACCTCGTTGTGACAGCAGCTGTTGCGGTGCTCAGAGAAGGACTCGGCCACGTCCGCTGCGGCCTCGGCCACCTCTGCTGCGACTCCGGCCAAGCAGCTTGACTCGAAGAATCCCCGATTGTTTTGCAACGACGGCTATGGCCGAAGCGCCGAAAGAAGGCATTTTGAATGGAATGGGCGGGGAAATGCGGGGAAAGAACGCACAAAAGTTCTGTGACAACATGCAATCAACGCCGTCAGAAGCCACTATGACCATGCCGCCCGAGATTCGTCATGGGTGAAGCCGACACCAACGACTGTCCACCCGGCAGCAAACCTCTCGAGGAATCGGCACCTTGGCTTTCGCGGTAGAAGCCTCTTGTGAATGAGCTGGTCTTGTCCTGCAAGTTGAGTGTCGCTACTACTAAGGAGGAGTGTGAGATTGCGGCGAGCAACCTCGGAAAGACCTACATTGGAGCGGCCTGCCTCAAGTCACACTGGAAGAGGGCCTCCAAAGCTGAGCGAGCAGAGAGAAGGAGGGAACAAGAAGTGAAGCATCCAAGCGCGATCCCAGGAGGGCAACCCTGCCGAGATGGACCCCAAAGGACTGGCCAAAGAGATAAATGGTAACTAGTCATAGTAAACAATAATATCAGTACTCGTAGTGATCGTAGTAATAATGATAAGATGAAAAAGAACTGCTTGAAGCATCTGCTGCGGAGGATGCCAGTTCCGAATTCCGGACCAGGACATGTACTGGAACACGCACGATACAGGCTCTCACGCTTGGCTCAGCAGTTCGTGGTTGAATCACTCGACTCTGAAGGATACATTAGTAACATTAGTAGCGGTTTCGGTTCCTCAAACGAGGTGCTTGAAAATTACAGGTGCAAAGCCATCAACAAACAAGGCATGAGTCGGCGCTCAATGCCTGACATCAAGATCCAATTTGCAGCAGGGCACGCGAATGAAGAACAGATTTTCTCGAGTACCCCGTAGGCTGCAGACTGGTTCGCTTCAGTACTGAGTGCAGTCGATGTGTCTGCAAGGCTTCGCAAAAACAGAGGATTACCGGGGAAATGTTCATTGTACTGCCAGCAGGTGCTCCACATCCGGCTCGGCAGCCCATTTGCCGTGAAGCAGTGACAGCGTGAGACGGCGCTGCTCAGCATCCTGCGAATCTGCTAATGTATGGATGGCACAAGCGGCGAATTTGCTGCAAAACTCCATGCCGCCCGAGTCTATCATTGGCACAAAGTTTGCACAGACTTGCATGTACACATCACCGAACATCCCCCGGAGGCACAGAAAACTTGCGGAGTGCATAAGAACTGGGGACGGATTTGTACTAGCTTGTCTAAAGATTCTAGGTATTCAGATTTCGATGGTCTAAAGATTCTAGGTATCCAGAGTTCGATGCAAAAAGAACAACTCAATATCACGGTTTTCGGAACAATTTCAAGAGCTGCTTCAGTCGCCAATTCCTCGAGATATCTCAGAGTGATAGATTGTTGAAAATTTTAACATCTAAGATGGTTACAATTCGCAATGCTTGTGCGAGTGACTCAGGCCAACTCATGATAGGTATATTAGAAGTCGAAGAAAGGAATGATAGTGACAATTTCTCATCAAAAGAAGAAG